CCCAATTTTGGGGTTGTAGCCTGTACCTTGTATCTGGAGCCGTAGGTGAGGTCGAGCTCAGACTCCTCAGGCCGCAGGAACAGCCCAATTTTGGGGCAAAATCTCCCAATTTTGGGGCTCAGTCTCCCACTTCTGGGTCCCAATACCCCAATTTCCCCGTTCCCAGCCCATTTTTGGGGCTCAATGTCCCAATTTTGGGGCTCAATCTCCCAATTTTGGGGCTCAATGTCCCAATTTTGGGGCTCAATCTCCCAATTTTGGGTCTCAATCTCCCACTTTTGGGGCTCAATGTCCCAATTTTGGATCTCAATGTCCCAATTTTGGGTCCCAATACCCCAATTTTGGGGTTGTAGCCTGTACCTTGTATCTGGAGCCGTAGGTGAGGTCGAGCTCGGACTCCTCGGGCCGCAGGAACATGCCGGGTTTCTTGGTGTTGAGTTTGGCGTAGACGGCCTCGCGGGGCTGCACCCGAACCACCAGCTCGTTGCGCTTGCACTGGCGCCCGAAAATGTCCCCCGGCACCTCCCGGAACTGCAGGCGAACCTCGGCCTTGCGCTCGTTCAGAGCCTTCCCGCAGCGCAGGACGAAGGGCACACCTGGGGACATCATCATCATCATCATCATTAACTCATCATTGTCATCATCATCACTGACATCATCATCATCGTCATCATTAACTCATCATCAACTCATCATCCCCATCCCTGTCCCTCGGCCTTGCGCTCGTTCAGAGCCTTCCCGCAGCGCAGGACAAACGGGACACCTGGGGACATCATCATCATCGTCATCAACTCATCATTGTCATCATCATCATCATCATCATCATCATCATCATCATCATCATTCCCTCGGCCTTGCGCTCGTTCAGAGCCTTCCCGCAGCGCAGGACGAAGGGGACACCTGGGGGGACCTTCATCGTCATCATCATCATTAACTCATCATCATCATCATCACTGATATCATCATCATCATCATCATCATCGTCATCATTAACCCATCATCATCATCATCATCATCATCATCATCATCAACTCATCATCATCATCATCATCACTGACATCATCATCATCATCATCAGCTCATCATCATCATCATCATCATCATCATCATCAACTCATCATCATCATCATCACCATCAACTCATCATCATCATCATCATCATCATCATCATCATCATCCCCTCGGCCTTGCGCTCGTTCAGAGCCTTCCCACAGCGAAGGACGAAGGGGACACCTGGGGGGACCTTCATCGTCATCATTAACTCATCATCATCA